CCGTGCCTTTCGCCGGATTTACGATCGCCGGAGACCAAAATTAGCAAGAAAAAAAAAACACTGAAAATCGGACATGAAGGTGACGGGAGAAGAGGAATGAGGGAGTGGATTGTGGAAGAAGATTAGAAGAAATTACTATTTAACTAATATAATAATTGGATAAAATAAGTTGGTAGATGGTGATGTGATGTGTGTATTTTATTTATCATTTTTTTTAAACATAGGGAGTTCATTGTAAGATATTTAGTGTAATAGAGAGTGAAAAAGAAATTTTTTTGTGTGGGGACTGAAAAAGAATATGTAAAAGGGTTTAGGTACTTTGTAGGAAAAGCCCCTATAAAGAAAGATATAGGAGTATAAATCCATAATATTTTTTTTTTTACATTTTATTTTTTTAAGAAAAGGAAATTCGGACCAGAACCTGAAACTCAGCCAACAAAAATGGAACATTCGAAACCTATTACTTCAAATTTTTCAGCAATCCGGAAGAAGACAATGTTTTCAATCTCTTTCGTTTGATCTGATTCTGATCAACCGAAAAAGCCCAACGTGGAATATTTCCTTTCGATTCACCACCTGAAAGAGAGGGATTTAAGAATTTATATAATGGCCACATTTTGAAGATTACCTTTGTTTCGTTCGTGTAATTATCTATCCTTGTACAGATTCTGCATCAATTTTTTAAGGAGGGGGAGACAAGAATTTCGATCAGAGACATGATTGGAGGCTCCCCCAGAGGCATATTTGACTTGGGTTGATTCATAATCATGCACTAAATATGTATATGTCTGTTGTCTGTTTGATTCTTGGTCTGATGCTATGAGAAGCGTTCTTGCACCATTGGGAAAATGAGGATCCAAGAAAAGGTGTTTTTCAAAAGAAGCTATCATTTTTTTGTAGTGCTCTGGATTTTGGTTGTGGTAATGAGTGTGGACTGCAAGTTGGAGGAACATGAAGAGCCTCTGCTGGCTTATCTGATAGACTCGGGAGAGATTAGTCGTGAGACGGTATGAGCAGCTCGTAATCGTTGTTTCTGTGTTTCTTCATGAGTGTTTACTTGTGCAAATGTGATTCATAATGGTACACTGATTTCTTAACTTGTTGGGAGCATGTTTTAGTGATGGAAGCTTGGCATTTTAAGGTTGTATTCGTTGTGTTATCGTGTTGGATACACGATATATTTGTATTGTTTAGTTCCTAAATTGTGCAGAAATGTTGAATGATTCGGAAACCCCTTCCGTAACGTGTACCTGTTTTTATTTTAGTTTCTTTTTTTGCTATTGCTCCTTCATGCTGCTTGATTTCATGCATTTTTACTTTATGAATCCCTTTAACAGGTATATGCTTACACTATCTTCACATTTGAATCAATGAGGTGTCTTGAAACATTTTGTACTTACCTATCCTAATCTTTTCTCGTTTTTTGTCATGGTTGAAACCTATTGAAATGACAAAGGTAATATTTGGATGTTTCATGATTTTTTGTTGCTCTTATCGATCCTATCTAGAAACTTAATACATTCTACCTATGGACTCGCTCATGCTTTAATTTTCATGCACTCAAATTCAGTTTTTGTCAAGATATAATGTAGAGAACCTTTTGGTAATATTAATGAACCACTAATGCTTGTAATTGTGAAGGGCAACTTGGTTAATTCTATATGATTAGATATCACATTTTCTGTGCTTGAAATAATTTTAGCAAAATTCTGTGGGTAAATGTTGAATGAAAATGCCCTTCGTGTTCGTTGCAACATATATTCTCGTTAGGAACACATTATTTGACGAGTTATTCATTTCAAGGTGTTAATGGAACATCTTGCTCGTCACATTTTTTACGAATTTCGTTACAGGGAAATTAGCAAGAATAAGAAGTTATTGGTTCATTAAATGAAAGTCCCACATTTCATGTCATAAACTACTCCTAAAATTTATTCTCTTATGAATTACGAAAACTAATACCTAGCCATAATAGTGGTGCTCGTGCTTGGCAATAATCGAACAACCTTTTTTTTTTCCTTGGCAGGCTGGATTATTGCAGACTAAATGCATGCAGGAGTTTTTACTTGCCAAGAGAACCATAAATTACTTCAATCCGAATGCTCAGTCGTCCACAACAAGCATGCATGAAGCTTTCAGCATCTTGTGCCCTCAGGTTAAGAAAGTCCTCCTTGATTGCTTGCGAGAAAACATTCTCGTGAGTGAACAGAAGGATTCAGATTCAGATTCAGATTCTTGGTACAACCGATACTCAGGGTGGTTTATTTTCCAGAGGCACTTCTCATCCACACGGCGTGAGTTAGTTCAGAAAGAAGAATCTGCGCCATTTCCAACTGTTGCTGCCGTTCTGGTTATAGCGGCTTTTGCTCTCGCTATTGGGGCATTGCTCTTTTTTTTCTGTAGTAATACCTCTGGTCAGGGTATAAATGATGAAAACCCACTTCTTAGATTAAGCTTAAGTGACCATTCTATAGGTAAAAATCGTCTGTCTCCCTTTTTTTTTTCTCTTAGGAGTATAGTCTTTCATTGATCTCTTGTGTTTTCTGATCTTCATCAATGTTTCAGCATCTACACAGAAGATGCCCAGTCTAGGTGCTCTGATGAGCGAAGAGAAGTACGGTAATAAATCTTTCAACAGCAGGCTTAGCCTCAACAGAAGCAGCAGCCGGAGTCTGCTCACGGACCTGCATTCTCCAACCAACTCAAAACTCGAGATCCCCCTCGGGCCCACAAATGGGCCCCTCCCCCCTCCACCCGGTAACCCACTCCGGTCCACAAGCGGGCCCCTCCCTCCACCACCCGGAATCC